GAAAGGTGCTAGGGATAGAATCCAGGGTCTTGAACACCAGGTAAGTGCTATACCACTGAGCTCTGCCCCCAGGCCCTATCACAGTTCTTACCTGGAATATATAATATAAATGACCAATCACCAATCAATGACTTGTGCTTTTTTTGTTGATGAATGCAATTTTAACAACCAGTTTTACTATAATCTCCCTTTTTCTTAATCTTTAAAAACCTAGCCCCCAGGGCTGGGACTGTAGCTTGGTTGCAGAGCACTTGCCTAGCATGTGTGAGGCACTGGGTTCAATCCTCAGCACCACATAAAAATAAACAAATAAAATAAAGGCAGTCTGTCCATCTACAACCACAAAAAAAAAAATTAAAAAAAAACAAAAACAACTACCTCCCACGCCCCCAAGATGCCATTTGGGAAAGCACTGATTCTAAGTGGATATTTGTCCCCCCCCCCCCCCCCCCCCCCCGCCCTCCCTGGGGTAATCATCTTCATACTGGCTCAAAAAAACTCTTTGTTCTCATTCTCAGTGTACCTCAGCTTGCCTTTCAAGTTGACAGCATTTCCAAAAATGAGTTAGTACTCATTTGGTCCTAAAGCAAGACACAGTCCTTTTGAAGTTCTCAAAGAATGTTTTTATTGTAGGTAGTGTAGGGGAGAAAAGATTTCTCACCCATTGCAAATTTCCTCATTAAGGTACCTATAGTAAGACAAATTAACAAGGAAAAAAGCATACAAATTTACTTACTATTATGTTTTATGTGACAGCCTTCAGAAACAAAAACCCAAAGAAATAGGGAAAGCAATATGTTTTCATGGACAGTCATGCAATGGTGTGACTGGAAGGCAAAGGATATGATCTAATGGAATAAACTGGAGGAAATTTACAAGGCCTGTATATTTCAATTCTTCTCAGCATTTCTGTGTCTTTTGGGATAAGAATGTTCCTTTCCTCTGGGTTCTTTTCCTCCCAGCACCTCTTTTAGAATTTTAAAAATCGTTTTTATACTGGGGATTGAACCCTAGAGTGCTTTACTATTGATATGATTCCCCAGCCCTTTTTACTTTTTATCTTGCCATAGAATCTCATGAAGTTGCTTAGGGGCTCACTAAGTTGCTGAGGCTGGCCTCCAATTTGAAATCCTTCCACCTAAACCTCTGGAGTCACTAAAATTACTGGTGTGCACCACTGTGCCCAGCCCATCAGGGGCACATCTTAAGTGAGGGTCTTTTGATTTACTTAAGAGAAAGATCAGCCCACAAGACTGGGATCATAATTAGAATAAGTTATACTCCATGTATGTATAATATGTGAAAATACATTCTACTGTCATTATATCTAAAAAGAACAAATTTAAAAATCCTAATTAAAAAAAAAAAAAGAGGAAGGTCAGAGAATAAGGATCAGGCAGTGCTGAGGATTAACCTTAGGTCCCAGAGTCTCATACATGTTAGGCCCTACCACTGAGCTATACCCTATTTTTGAGTTTTCTAAATGGTCATTTTTCAAATCCACCCGTTCTTAATTTAAAAAAATTTTTTTTAGTTGTAGGTGGACACAATATATTTATTTTTATGTGGTGCTGAATATTGAACTCAGTGCCTCACACTTGCTAGGCAAGTGCTCTACCCCAGCCCACACCTGTTCTTTTTTCCATTTTTTTGTCTATTATTTTCAAATTTTCATGTTTTTAGATAGAAGTTATTTCTTCACTTACCTCTTTGAGTACGCATACCAAATACTGTTTGTAAAAGTCTTTGTTAGGCTACTTCCTGTAATTAATTCTATGTCATGTGGATTCAAGTTCTGATTGTTGATTTTTATTTGCATCCTTTTTTAAAAAAATAAATTTTTAATTGTAGTTGGACACAATGCCTTTATTTTATTTATTTTTATGTGGTGCTGAGGATCGAATCCAGTGCCTTGATGGCGAGCCCTCTATCCCTGAGCCACAACCCCAGCCCCTATTTGTGTCCTTAGTATTGGGTTTCTTCATGTGTTTTGGAACTGTGGTTTAATTTTTAAAATTTGTAAATTTGTTTTTTCTTCTCTATTTTTTCCATATCTGTATCTACTCGGTTTCAATAAGCCCTCCATAAGGCTTCATAATTGCCTCTACTTGCCCTTATTATTCCTTAGTCAGAACTAGAACTTAAAATGGTATTTAGAGGTTCCTGGCTGGTGGTTATAATGGCAAAATCAGAGATTAGTCCCCAGAACAGCTGACAGCTTGGCACTCTTGGGTTAGGGGTCTGTAGTCCTCCAGTCTTCACTGAAAGCCACAATCCTAGAGATGGATCAGCACAATATTTTATTTCCTTTGTTGGGGATGGAGAGGACAGAGGTTGGGAATGCAGGACAGAATCTCCATTTGTCTTTTAGGTGTTCCATTTTATCTGCCATTGCTGTTTTGGGGCATAGTGGTGCACCAAAGCTGATCTGAAGCAGCTTTTTCTTTTCGGTCACCTTCACCTCCACCATCCTTTCTCAGGCCATGATCAACCTGTACTTATGTGACTACAGCAGCCTCTCAACTAGCCTCCCTTCCTCTAGACTTTATTTCCTCCAATCCATTCTTCTCACCATGGCCAGAGTGACTGTCAGACAATGTAATCCTGCTTACATAATGGCTCTGCCTAAGGATTCCCTTTTGTTACAATCAGTAGCAGAGATGGAGTTAAATCACTGGCCCAACATGGAAAAGAAAGGGGTTTAGATGTTAGCTTATAGCAAATGAACATTGAAGGGGCTGGGGTTGTGGATCTGTGGTACAGTGCTTGCCTAGCATGTGTGAGGCCCTGGGTTCTATTCTCAGCACTGCATATAAATAAATAAAATAAAGGTCCATCAACAACTAAAAAATATATATTAAGAAAAAGAACATTGAATAACTCATGTCTGTAGACACTAAAGATAGAAACATTCCCAAAAGAATGAAAATGTTACCACCTCCCCCCAAATATATCTTCACTGGAATGACTTTAGGACAAGGAAATAGATCAGAAATATTTTATAGATTCCATTTAAAAATCAAAACCTTTTTAGACACACAGTGGTAATTTTGGAATCAGAAAGTAGTGTGATTTGGCTGGTGATTCCAAAAGTTAGGAATAACATCTAAATAACAAAAACCTTCAAATGTCTATTCAATTATTACTAAATATTTCCTACTTGCATGACACTGCAGGGGAAATAGGATATGTAAAAAATACTCTGCCTTCAAGAACCTTACAAAGTAGGAGGCAAGGTGATTCATTTCAATTAAAATTAAAACTAAATTTGTGTTGTATGTCCCCAAAATGTCTCTGGAAGTTCAAACTCCTCATAATTCAGAATATGACCTTCTTTGGAAATAGAAACATTATCAATGTAGCTAGTTAAGGTGAGGTTATACTGGAATAGGGTAGACCTTTAATCCAGTATTAATAGAGATGCAGAGATAGACACAGGGAAGAGGATGCCAGGTGATAATGGAATGATGCAACTGCAAGCCAAGGAATGCCCAGGACTGATAGCCACCACCAAAAGCTAGGAAGAAGCAAGGACAAATCCTCCCTACAGGTTTCAGAGGAAGAACAGCCTTGCCAACACCTTTATTTAGGATTTCTAGCTCCAAGAACTCTAAGACAATAAATCTCTGGTGCTTTAAGATCCCAGTTTGTGGTACTTTGGTACAGCAGCTCTAGGAAACGAGCTTATATAGTTTCTTAGTTAGCATTATAAACAAAATGGCATAACAAATAGAAATTATTTCCAGCAGACAAGGAGCTTCTGGATGACATGGTATTCGTGTTAAGCTTTAATATGATTCTGTTGTGTAGATGTGGTAGGAGGAGAAAGGGCTTTATATTCTTCCATGTCAATCTAAATAGCATCTTAAAGCTTAGTTATTCTAAGCAATATCTCTGGAAAACGAGCTGTATGTAATTCACTTTAATGTCCTGAACCTAGTGTCAACTTTGTCACTAACAGGATTTTTAAGGTATAAAACTGGAGACACCATGCTTTATTATTTCAAGCAGTACTGTGCAGAGGTAAAACAATCATTACTTGCTTTTATCATCACACTACAAAAGTGGGCAAGTCTTCTTCCTGGAAACTTTAGTAAGCAGTTGCTAGTTAAAATCTCAAGACTAACTAAAAAATAGTAGTAGCAGGAACTGGTATTAAGGTGGCTGACTGGAATTAAACTTCTCATGCTTTGACCTTGCATTATGATGTATTCACAATGATGCTTCTAGTATGATTATAGTCATCGCTCAGCAATCTCCAGTTGTAAATAAATTCTTGAAATTTCAGTAGTCTTTTTGGGGAAGCAGGGAAAGAGCCATTTACCTGCACCTTTTTTCACAACTCAACCTTGAGTATGAGTTTCAAATCAATCTGATGGATTCTGTAATGGTTCTATCCTAAATCACATGCTCCTACAGGTTTCATCTTCCAAAAGATAAGTTCCGCTTGAATAATGGATGGAATTATTTCAAAGTAAAGGTATTTTTTATTTATTTTATTTTAGCTGTACTGGGGATTAAATCCAGAGCCTCATGTATGCTAGCCAAGACCTCTACCACAGAGTTATACCCCAAGCCCAGCCCAGCCCAGGGGTTCTTTACCAGAGATACACAGAATAACTGGAGGAACCCTATAGTGAATACATTCCTCATCTGCATGCTGTGGTACAACACAGCATTGTCATATTTGAAAAAGCACACACACACACACACCCCTGCCAGCCACTACCTAGCCTCTAGATTTCCACTTCTTTCTCTCCACTTCCCGGCCCGCCCCAACCCGCCACGCCCCATGGGCGGTCCCAAGCGGCGGGCCCGCCCATCCCCTCCGGCTGCGTAAGCCCCGCCCCGGTAGCGCGGAAACTTGAGGCGACCGGCTTCGGGCGGGATGGGGGTGGGGGAGGGACGGGGGAGGGGCGACAGGATGTGGAGTGGGGGCGGGACCAGCCCGAGGGCTGAGAGGGGCGGAGTCGAGGAGAAGCTTCGGACTTTATCTTTGATTACCCTTGCGGGAGAGGCGGGAGATCTTGGCCCGGAGCCGGACAGAGAAACCCTGTCGCTGCCGCCGGAGATCTGGAGTCTCCCTACAGAGGCGAGTACGGGGCTTCACCGTAGCCCGCGGAACATGGCGCCCTGGACGGTGTGGCGCTGCTGCCAGCGCGTGGTGGGATGGGTGCCGGTGCTCTTCATCTCCTTCGTGATCATCTGGTCCTACTACGCGTACGTGGTGGAGCTTTGCGCGTGTGAGTACCGGAGGGCGCGGGCGGAAGGCGGGGGCCTGGGGCGTCGCCGGGACCCGGCTGCAGGCCGAGGCCGCGCGCCCGCTGCTTTGTTAGAGCCGCGGCGCCTGACGCTCGGGAGCCTGGATGCCCAAGGCCGCGGTGCGGCCCAGCTAGCCCGCGGCTTCCTGGTTCTAGTGTTCGCTCAGGGGCTGCCCATCCTTCTGTCTTCTATGACGGAATGTTCAGAAATGCTTTTTCTCCGAGGCGGGGCCAGTCGACCTTCGTAGGTTTAGGGGTGTGTGTGTGTGTGTAGCCCTTATTTTTGCTTTTGTTAATATTTTTAAAAACAAATTTGTGCTTTCCAGGTTGTTTTTCCAAACAGCGCAAGACGCTTGTCACCAGTAAAGCCGGCTGCTGGGGTTGGGGGAAGGGAGGTGTGTCTTTTGGTGCTCTGACCTGGAGGATGAGTGAGCCCCAGCTTTGATTTTGGGTGGTACTTGGCCCATTTTAAAGTTCATTTCTTTCAAGTCTGAATCCAGCGACCTATAAAATGAAGACAGAATGGGAGAATAACATTATTTATTTATTTTTCTTGGCTGTTTATTCTGACGTTTTTTTTTTTTTTTTTTTGCGGTGCTAGGGATTGAACCCAAGGCCTCACACATGCTAGGCAAGTGCTCTGCCTCTAAGCTACATCCCAGTCCGGTGTATTTTTTTCACTATCTTCAATTTGGGGGTCTTCATTATTTTTGCTATCTTCCATTTTTTAGCACCGATTTTCACCTGACTCCTAGGAAAAAGGATTGCAGTACACCTCAAGGATTTAACATACTGGTTTGAATAGGTTGCCTTTAAGAATAAAGGTAATCTGGACTCTTGCAGATTTCAGTCTTGTTTAAGTAAGGTAGCTTTCTCCTAAAAGGCAGCAGCAGAAGGTTCCTAAATACCTCGGACAGTAAAAATTGCTGATCCACAGTATGCTCTTAGTCATTTGAACAAATTGTTTATGATCAAGAGGGCTTCGTTCCAGTGCAGGCTCTGTTATTTCTTCATTTTGTTTATACACACACACGCACAGGCTCGCACAATATCAGCCTTATTAGGAGTTAATATTGAGGATAAAATAGATACACTTAACATGGCCATCTTAGGTGAGTGATAAACAGAAAAGATAAAATAATACTATTAGTTTTTGGTTTTAAATAAGACTGAAATACCTCGTTGGCTTTTTCCCCCAAAGCTTCTGTTTGAAAATATTTAGTTATGGGTGAACTGAACAACTTTTCCTCTCTGGTCAACCTGGTTAATTTTGAGGAAAGTGCTAATTCAGATTTCTAGAGTTTTTATCTGAATACTTGGGTCATTTTGAGCTGTTTATAGTAGGGTTGTATCTCTTTTTTAGCATATAGAAGATCTTAGAGTTTTTAGAGTTGGTCTAATTCATTATTTTCTAGGAAATTTATTACTCAGAAGACCTGTGTGGTTTGTCCAAGGGTAGACATTTTAATCTTTTTTTCATATAGAAATATGTAGAGTGGGACTGTAACCTGAGTCTATATCCTTGTGTCTTCTTCACAACATCTTCAGATTTAGAGTGATACACATAACAAGTGCCATTATTGAGTATACTCTGTTCACATAGTTGATTCTGAAGTGTTATATTGATCTCCAAAGAACCAGCTTTTGTATTTTGTGAGACTTAAAGCCTTTAAAATGTATTCAAGTTTCTGTATACACTTGAGAAAGATATATTCTGTAATCAGCAGTGTATTTTACTGTTTGTTGCTGGGAATTCATTTATGTCATAATGCTTCATAAGTATCATTGAGGGCAAATTGGTAATGTTACTTAAATCTTTTCTATTTGTTATTTAAATTATTGAGAGAGGTATGATTATCATGTATTTATTTCTCCTTGTACTTTTATCAGTTTTTGCATCATGTATTTTTCAGCTCTGTAATAAGGTGTATAAAATATTAAGAATTGTTAAGTCCTCTTGATGAGTTGGTCCCTTTATAATTGTGAAATGATTCTCTTATCCCTCACAATACTATTTGCCCTGAAATCTACTTTGGCAGATATTAACATGTTATTAACCTTTCTTTTGATTAGTGCTAGAATGGTATATCTTTCTCTGTCCTTTTACTGTTAGCCTGTTTATGCCTGTGTATTTAAAGTGTGTTTCTTTTAAGCTGCATCTATTTGGGTCTTGCTTTTCTTTTTTTTTCCTCCTTTTCATGTAATCTGAAAATCTCTGCCTTTCAATTCAGGTGTTTGACTACATTTAATGTGATTATTAATATATTTAAATTTAAGACAGTGATTTGTTTGTTATTGTTGTTTTTTTTTTGTTTGTTTTTTGGTACCAGGGATTGAACTCAGGGGCACTCTACCACTGATTCACATTTCCAGTCCTATTTTGTATTTTATTTAGAGACAAGGTCTCACTAAGTTGCTTAATGTCTCAATTTTGCTGAGGCTAGCTTTGAATTCACCATTGTCCTCCTGTGTCCTCCTGAGCCACTGGGATTACAGGTGTGTTCCACCGGGCTGGCTTGTCATTTTTTTTTTTTTTTTAATATTTATTTTTTTTTGTAGGTGGACATAATATATCTATTTTATTTTTATGTGGTGCTGAGGATTGAACCTGGAGCTCCGCAAGTGCCAGGCGAGCGCTCTACCGCTGAGCCACAATCCTAGCCCAACTTGTTCTTTGTTCTCTTTCCCTTTTTTTTTTCTCTTCTTTTGAATTAATCGAACTTATGTTTTCAAATTTTTTGATTATTTCATTTCCTTTGTTAGTTTATTATCTGTCGTTCTTTTTGTTATTTAAGTGGTTGCCTCATATTTATAGCATGACTTTAGCTTCAATAACTGAAAAAAACTATATATTATATAGTCTACCTTCAAGTGATATACCTTTTCACAAACAGTACCTTATAAAAACACTTGTTTCTTCCTTCCTAATCTTTATGTTGTTGTCATGTATTTTGTGTTACAAACATCACATTATATTGCTTATTTTGTTTGAACAATTTTTGTGAAGATTTAAAAATTGATAAATACATGTACTCATCTAATTACCATTTCTAGTGCCCTTTATTTTTTTTATAGATCATATTTCCATCTGTTGTTATCACTTCATGCCTAAAAGTGGTTTAGGTCAGCTGGAGATGAACAATTTCAGCTTTCATATATTTGTAAAATTTTATTTTGGACTTTTTTTAATATATATATTTTTTAGTTGTTGATGGACTTCATTTTATTCATTTATTTATATGTGGCGCTGAGAATCGAACCCAGTGCTTCCACATATGAGGCAAGAGCTCTACCACTGAGCTACAACCCCAGCCTCCTTTAGACTTTTCTGATTTTGTTGGAGTGACGAGGATTGCCCAGGGCCTTGCATATGCTAGGCAAGCACTCTACCACTGAACTATATTCCCAGCCTCCTGGGTTTTTTGGGGGGTTTGTTTGTTTGTTTGTAAAGTAACTTTAACAAGGTATAGTTCAAATTCCATTAAATTCACTCATTTAAAATGTACAATGTAATGACTTTTAGTAAATTTATGAAGTTGTGTAGTAATCACAATAGTCCTTTTTTTGAACATTTCTATGACCTCAGTAAGATCCCTCATGCCCATTTACAGTTACTCCGTCTTTCTTCCCCCAGCCTAAGGCAACCACTGTCCATGTTCGGGATCCATATGCCTTTTCTGGACATCTCATATAAATGGAATAATACAATAACTGGTCTTTTGTGTCTGTTTTGTGGTGTTTTTTTATTTTTTAGTTGTTGATAGAACTTTATTTTTATTACTTATTTATATGTGGTGTTGAGAATTGAACCTAGTGTCTCACACATCCTAGGCAAGTGTTCTATCACTGAGCTACAACCCCAGCTCCCTACTGAGCATGTTTTTGATGTTCATCTGTGTTATAGTATGTCTCAGTGTTTTCCCCCTTATTTTCCACTTTATGTTCTAATTTGTGTGTGTGTGTGTATATATATTTTAGTTTTATTGATTTTATTTTTTTTAAATACATGACAGTGGAATGCATTACAATACTTATTTAACATATAGAGTACAATTTTTCATATCTTTATATATAGAGTATGTTCACACCAACTCATGCCTTTATACATGTACTTTGCTTTTTTTGGCATTACAATTCTTATTACATATATATCACAAGTTTTCAAATTTGTTTATATATTTACACCCAATTCAAGTCTTCATACATGTTCTTTGGATAATGATGTCCTTCACATTCCACTGCCCTTGCTAATCCCCTTCCGCCTCCCTTTCTCTCCCATCCCTCTTCCCTATCTAGAATTCATCTAATCCTCCCATGCTCCCCCTCCCTACCCTACTATGAGTGAAAATATATCAGAGAAAACATTCGGCATTTGTGTTTTTTTTTGGATTGGCTAACTTCACTTAGCATTATCTTCTCCAACGCCATCCATTTACCTGCAAATGCCATGATTTAATTCTTTTTTAATGCTGAATAAAATTCCATTGTGTATATATGCCACATTTTTTTTAATCCATTTATCCACTGAAGGGCATCTAGGTTGGCTCCACAGTTTAGCTATTGTGAATTGTGCTGCTATAAACATTGAAGTGGCTGTGTGTAGTATGTTGTTTTTAAGTCTTTTGGGTATAGTCTGAGGAGAGGGATAGCTGGGTCAAATGGTGGTTCCATTCCCAGATTTCCAAGGAATCTCCATACTGCTTTCCATATTGGCTGTAACAATTTGTAGTCCCACCAGCAATGTGTGAGTGTACCTTTTCCCCCACATCCTCTTCAATACTTATTGTTGTTTGTCTTCATAATAGCTGCCATCTGACTTGAGTGAGATGATATCTTAAAGTAGTTTTGATTTGTATGAATATATTTTTAAAGATATTTACAGTTTTACTTAGAAATATATTTCTAGTATACTTCCACAAATATATTTCTACTATACTTACATTTATAAGTCAAATTAGAATATAAATTAAAAAAGTATGGGG